GTATTAACCTTTTTAGTGAAGACTGATGCAAAACAGGCATTAAAATCTTCACCTTTCTTGATGTTATCAGTTATTAACTCTCATTCCCCGCTAAGTAGAGGACACACACTTTCCTTCATCTTTCTTTTGCTCCTAACGTATTTTTTTAAAAATTCTTTTTGCCTTTTATGTTCATTGATTGCTAGGTGTAACTCATTTTGTACCATAGCCTTTCTGATTTTGTCCCTACATGTTTATACTATTCTTTTACTCCTCCTCAGCAATTTGTCCATGGTTCCACTTTCTGTAGGATTCCTTTCTGATTTTCAGGTAATTAAAGAGCTCTTGATGGAGCCATATTGGCCTCTTATTGTTCTTCCCATCTTTCCTTTACATCGGGCTAGTTTGCAGTTGTGCCTTTAATATTGTCTCTTAGAGAAGCTGCCAACTCTAGTGAACCACTTTTTCCCTTAGATTTTCTTCCCATGAGAGAACTCCAGAGGAGTATCTGCAGTAGATTCTGTTTCTCTCTCTCCTCCTACCCCAATCAAGATCTTGCCTTTGTTATTAATTAAAATCCCCCCTAGTGCTCCTGCATTGGTACTGGATTGGGGTGTTGGAAAGTGATGGAAGATGGATCCACAGCTACAGCTATTAGGAGAATTATGGCAGAATATGAAAGAAATTCCAGCTGCCCACTTCATATAAACAGAAACTACTTGATGGTGATTATAATTGTACAGTGTGTCAAAACTGCATCGCTGCAGTAAGACTAGAGAATATTAAATTGTTTTTAGAAAGCCAAAAGATGTGTTCTGTACTACCAGATGGGACTTACTTATATTACATATTGTTCAGAGTGCCAAATTAAGGTTAAGGATATTTAAAGCAGGTACATTTATAGATCCATTGATATAAGGGAAAAAAAACTGATCTTAGGTCCTCTTAAGTGTATGCTCCCGTTAATGTTTTATATGTCAAATATTCAGAACTGGGGTCTCATTTTTTTAAGAGCTGTACAGATTCTTATAAAGACATGGCTTATTCTAATTTCAAGTGGCTTAACTGAAATGGCTTCCACCTTTTCCTCTGGGAGGCTATTCTAAATTCTCATAGAACTGATTGCCAGGAGGTGCTTTCTAATATCCAGCATATATTTTCCTTTGCTCATTTTTATACCATTACCTTTGCTTATAAGTGCCTCTCTGGACTGTCCTAAGCCTGTCCATTTAGGCATTTATGTCTTTCTTCCTTTAGCTGCACATGGATAATTCCCACTGATTTCAGAGGGAGCCACCTGTGTTATCTCTTGGCATTCCTGTTAAACATTATTTAACTTAATGACAAACATACAGTTATTTTAGTCTCTCAGTCCCCACTCTGCCTTCAGCCTCTTAATAATTAAAGCCCTGCTCCTGCAGACTGCTCCATGCTGACAGACCCCTGCACAGCTTGCAGGACTGGAGCCTCATTTGCTATCCCCTGAATTTCAGCTACTGGCATCTTTCCAATACTGATGCACCAAAAACTGTATGCAGCTCCCCAGTGGTACAGTCCAGGAAACAAGTGCTTAAAAAACAACCCTGGATGTAACCTTTCATATAACATTAAAAAGAAACGGGGACTTAGCAAATTCCTTTTACTTATGGCAACTGGATTCCTCAGCTTGGGTACATTTTAAGGGTACAAAAATTCAGCTGCTAGGTAGGGACGTAAGGTGATACACGATGTGGCACTCATCACACTTACAAATCAGGGAAGGGAAGTGTTAATTGGTTAAATGATCATGTTACAATATGTTAGGATTGGTTAGTTAAATTTCAGTAAAATGATTGGTTAAGGTACAGCTAAGCAGAACTCAAGTTTTACTATATAGTCTGCAGTCAATCAGGAAGTAAAGGGGGGAATGGGAACAGGGAATGAGGGTGGGGGAATTGGAATCATGTTTTGCTAAGGGGGCGGGAAATGGGAACAGGGACACAGGCAAGGCTCTGTGGTGTCAGAGCTGGGAAGGGGGACACTAAAGAAGGAAACTGGAATCATGCTTGCTGGAAGTTCACCCCAATAAACATTCAATTGTTTGCACCTTCGGACTTCGGGTATTCTTGCTCTCTGTTCATGCGAGAAGGACCAGGGAAGTGAGCGGGTAAAAGAATAAGCCCCGAACAGGAAGTTAGAGCTAACCCTTCTGTAATGTAGAGGATTAATGGTTAAAGTCACTGCAGCGGCGTATCTGAGGGTATTCACTGAGTAACAGACAGAGTGCAGATGAGAGAGGTCATGTGGCAGAAGAAGCACTAAAGGCTGAGCTCTTTTTACCCCAAAATGTGTTGTAGTCTGCATAATACTGAGGTAGCATCCTGTTCACAAATATCTGATCCCATCAAGTGAATAAAGAGGTGCTCCCTTGTTTGCCCAGTGTGGGATGTTTGGCTTGGCTTCACTGGTTATGTTTTCTCCCCGCCCCATCAGGATCTGCAGTCTGGAACTACTATGTAAAGCATCTCTCCTCTTTCTAATGTCGGGAAACCCAAACTTCTCTTCCACACATGGTATACTTTAGGGTTACCATACGTCCGTATTTTCCCGGACACGTCCAGCTTTTTAGTTCTTTAATCACCATCCGGGAGGAATTTTTAAATATCTAAAAACGTCCAGGAAAATACAGACATATGGTAACCCTAACAAAG